CTCGGGGGTGGTGGGAGTGGGATGGTTCCTGTCCCCCTGGCATAGAGGCTGCATGCTCTTCCTCTTGCATGATGTTTGGGGAAAGCCTTCCTTGCCTGTGCATGCTCCAGCCTTGCTGCTAGCGTGCAAGCCGCTCATGCTGCCTTTCAGTTTGTATGGCATTTTGGATTCCACCCTGCCAGCCCCAGCTCCACCATCCCCCTGCTGCTAACGTCAATCCCATCCCTTCGCGAGCTCTCGGTTTGGAGGAAAGGTAGTGAGTAAACAGAGCTCAGCGCAATAAGCCCTCAGCCGTTGCCCTTCTGCACTGATGGCGTGATAAGCTGGGTACAGGTAGCTTAGCAACTGGATAAGGTGGGGGTGGAGGCTGGCTCTGCATGGGGCCACTGGCAGGGGGACATCCATGGGGGTGGCCCTAGGAGACACTGATGGGAGCGGGGTGAGGGCTGTGCTGGGTTTTGGGAACAGAGGCTGAAAGCTCCTGCTGGTGTATTGGTGCTAAAGAGAGGAAAGGCTCTGTAAAGCCGGAGCTGTTGCTTGCCTGGAACAGAGGGGTATGGATGGAGGGGGCTGGGTGCCGAGTCAGCCTCCCCTGGGCAGAGCAAGAAACCAGGCTGCTTGGAATGGATGTGGTTTAGTTGTCCTTGTGACTATGTGGGAGGATGGGCCCTGGGGGTTTTTCCAGACCCAGCTCTTCTCTGAGAGCCCAGTGCCTGCAGGAGGCATGGCTAGGCCAAGCTTTGGCCAACAGACCACACATAAGCCAGCTATTCCAACTGTCTGGTAGCAGACTCCCTGCCTAGAGCACCCTCTGCACCCTCCACCCCACTCCGTTCTCTCCTTCTCTACTCCAGCATGTTGGCCAGCCTGCTGTTTTTGTCAGTATGGAATGCTAATGCTTTCATATGTGCTTTCTCCTTTAAAACACATTCTTCTCATTAGGGAAATTTAATTATTTTGTTTTCTTTTGCTGGCTCTCAACTGCCAAGGCATTGGGATTTCTTTTTTTTTTTTTTTTTTTTTTTTTTTTTTCCGAGCAGGAAACCATGTAGATGCTTTGTGCAACTGAGGGGAAAAAAAACAGCGTGGGAAATTGGGAGAGCTTTGGGCTTTCTGAGGATGAAAAAACCCTCTCTGCTCTAACAAACATCTTCCCTTTTAAGTGTGACTTGTCACTTAGGAGAAGGTAAAGGGGAGAGGCCTGGCGCGAGCAGGACCTGCAAGCAGGGCTGGAGCGAGGTATGCTGTGAGGCCCACAGTCCTTTGCTCCTGTCCCCTCTGCCGCTGTGAAAAAAAGCTGATTTCCAGCTGGACAGGGTGGGTTTCACAGGCTGTGGAGGCGAAACACGCGTGGGGGTCGTAGGTGGCATGCAGTATCTGAGTGAGGGTCGCACTGGCAGCACAACCTTGCTAACCGACCCTTTCCCTCCCCCTCGCAGAGGAGCCGCGCCTGGAGAGCGCTGGCTTTGGTAATTCAGCAGCAGCTGGCGGAGCTCACTGCGTTACTTATTAACCACAGCGCAGAGCTCTGCTCCTTTCTCCCTTTCCTCCTGCCTCTTAGAGGCCAGAGCTGCCGCTCAAACCTCTGAGCCCTGTCGTTTGCCACTGCCTGCAAAGCCACAGCCGGATTTCCCAGTAGCAACTTACCATCTCCGGCGGGTCTCCGTGGCCTCGGTCCCCAGTCCAGGCGGGTGGTGGACGACAGTATCCTGTACCGCAGCCCGGTGCAGCCACAGCTTGTGCGGGGTGGCGGGAGGCGTGGCAAGGGGGCCGGGTCCACCCACAGCGAACTGCTGCCAGTGCCTTTCCCAACGCTGCCCGGCAGCGGTCACCTGCCTATGGGCGACCCTGGGACTCGGGGGATGCTCAAACAGGGTGTCTTTGAACTCCGCACGACAGAGCAGTGATGCGCCCACCCCTGAACCACCCACACCTCACTGTAGGGTCACTTTTATAACCTGTTGCACAAGAGAAAGGCAGAAGGGGATGGAGAGGGGCAGTTAAAGCCGGTATGGGTGGGTTGCCTAGGGACAGCCTGGATCATATCGCAGCATGTGGACCAAGAGCCAGGGTAGCAGGGGGAGTGTGTGCAGCACAACGCTTCTGAACATTTTTAAGGTGTTTTCTCCTGTTGCCAAGGTAACTGTCTGCATGTTTGCTGCCCTCTGAGGTGTTTTTGCTCTCCAGGCCTGCCGGATTTGTGCCCATGTCCTGTAGCTCATCGTCTGCTAAACCCGCTCACGTGGTAGGCAATTTTCCAGTGCTGACAACAATTTTGTACTGTGCTGATAGATGTGGTAGACAGAAATTCAGCACCCTGCTATGCCCTCATGGCTTTCTTTACCCTTGAAACAACTGATTCTGGAAATTTTTAATATGGTGTGACATACATCCCTTGTACATACCCTTGTGTGCACATTTTGTTTTCTGCTGTTAGGGTTCGTGGGTGCCATGGATGATTTATTTCTCCAGCAGGCAAATTAAAGGGAGGCAAATTCTTCCTTTCCTTTTTTTTGCCCTCTATAGATTTGCTTGCCAGGGTAATGAAAAGGAAAAATTAGCATCTTTTGTGTTCTGGGAGACCCCGAGTGTCTGTCTGGGGAGAAAGACTTGAAGAGCAATGCAGCACCTGAGAAGAAAATAATTATGTGCAGATATGAAGCTGGAAGCTTTGATATGGATGAGGAATTGCACTGTGCAGCTTCCAGCAATGAAATCAGGAGGTGGGATTGTTTGTAAGGTTGGGAAAGGCCAGCAGAATATTTTCTTGACATAAGTTTGAAGTGGGAGGACTGGCAGTTTCATCAGCACGGCCCAGCAGAAGTGCCCCTGTAAATAATGACATAGGCAGGAGGTAAAGGAAGAGATGTTGCTGTGAAATTGCAGGTGGAGATCTGGGTGCTGCAGGTAACAGCTGTGTTCAGGGGATCTCAGCTGCAGTTTTCTCCAGAAAATGCAGTGGCAGTTTTGATGGTGACCTGTCAGGGCCTCGAATGCACCTTGACTATGTGACAGTGGCTCTGTTGGCCTTCCTATTGATTTGGAGGCGGGAGAGAAAGCAAATACCCTGTCTCTTACGATACCCTGCTTTCCCTCTGCTGGATTTTGTTCCAGTGCGGCTATTTACCTTGCCAATACATGTGCTGCCAGTACAGAGCAACTGACAGACACCTCAGCTCATTAGAGGTGAGAATTTCTCTGGTTGGAGAACATCAGGAGAAAAATGATTAATTATATTGTGTCTACTGATTACCCAGCTCCTTTGTAATGGCATTTTCTCTCCTAGGTTATAAATCAAGCCTTAACTGCCAGCCTTACGTGTGAGAGATCTCTCACAGAGGGATGTGCTTTTGCTAAAAAGTGTCAACAGGGCAGCTGCGATTTTCCTCCATCTACGGTGTGAAATTGTTGCTGGGGGGGGAGGGGGGGGTTCTTTGGCTCCAACTCATGAACCTTTAAGTGCATGACACTCCCTCTCTGCACAGCTTTAATTTCCCTTTTTGAGGTGGGACCCTTTAGATTTGCTTTTAATGATTAATTCAGTGATGTTGGGCAAGGTGTTTGCTCAGAGCAGTTTGCAGCCCTGTGAAGGGGGTGTGCCTGTTTATTTGGAACAGATTTTTGCTCTTTTTTCCTCCCTTTTTGTCTGGTTTAGAGTTGTGCTTCCTTTGATGAGGTCAATGGCAGCTAAACCCACACGCGTACGTTGCTGTTACATACCCACAAGGGCTTCTGCGTGTTTGGGGGGAGCTCTCCTATCACTCGCCTGCTATTATTTTTATTTTGTCAATAAGTTTTTAACAAAATGTATCTGACCCTGAGAGCTGCTTTAGTTGAGAGCTGTGCACTGTCTCCCATCTCAGGATTTGCTTTTTGTATTTCCCCCCTTTCTCATTTCATGCTCCTTGAAACATTTTGATAGCCCCATTGAAGGAAGAGGGGACATTACCTTCCTTCTGTGAGAGTGCTGGCTGCAACCTGTCACTGCTTGCAGTCAGGACTCTCCAACACAGCAACAAATGTTGTTCGGGTTTTTTGTTTATTTTTTTTATTTGGTTTGTTGTTTTCTTTGATTCCTCTGTGAGGTTTGATTTTTTTTTTCTTTTCCTCTTTTTTTTTTTTTCCTTTCCCATAGTCTGTTCTGGCTCCTCACTTAGCAGTATTAAAAATGTGCTCAATGGCATCTTCCTGCAGGTGTGCTTTTCCAGGCATCCCTTGGGACCCATGGGCTTAGCATTGGTGGTAAATTCACCCTGATTTTGCATCTTGGGCCCTCTCACAAAGCAAATGGGATTAACCAGCCAAAGAAAGATGGTGGCTTTGTCCGTCTTGTTTGCTGCAATGCAAGTTTGTGTTGGATGGGCTGTTAGCAGAGCCGCTGACTCAGCAGGGCGATGTTTGCTGATGACACTGGCAGAAGGAGCCTTATCTCAAGCAAGGCTTGGTTACAGGGCTAGCTGTTTGTTTTATATTGTACTTTGGAGGAAGGGTGGGTGTCCTCCAGCACTGCATGGCAGAGGTTTGTCTGTCACGTCCAGGAGAAACCCAGTGGGGTTTACTAAATAGAAACCACACATCATGTGAAGATCTCCTGGGCTGAAAGTAGGTGAAGGCAGACAAAGGGAGAAGCTTCAGTTGTGCTTGTGCTGTTCTTGCATTTCCCAGGTCCACTTCTGTCTGCAGCTGGAGATGCTGTGAACTAGATCCTGTGTCACGATGTCCCTGCTCCTTAGAGAAGACCTTTAGAAAGTCCTGGGTGTGCTGTTAGTTTGCTTCATCTTTAACTGATGTGCCTGGCTCTTCTTCAGGTCTGGCACCACCATCTGCCTTTCCTTCTTCCCACTGTTCAGGAGGGTGAAGGGCTTGCTGTGCTTCACCTCTTTTCCGTGAATTGTGAGATGCACAGACGAGGACCGTTAGTAACCCATGAGATGGGGGAACAGATTTTTACCTGGTGGGTACTGAGTTGTCCATGTATTTATAGCTTTGAGGTTGCTCCTGTGATGAGACTGAAACTTATGTGTTGTGGGCAGGGGGGAACAACTGCTTAGTCAGCAGGGAAACAATTAACCAGCTGCAGTGCCTCAGGAATTCACCAGGAATACATTTTCAGAGTTTGCATCCATGCTAATGGCATTTGAGCATGTAGCTTGGGACAGGGTCACAATCACCTCAGCACCCAGAGGGTGTTTTAAGCCAGGGTGGACTAACATCTTTAATTGACTACTCCACTGGTATCTGAAACATTGCTCTTGTGGCACAACAGATTTAATTAAAGAGTTGTTTAGCACCGAAGGGGATTTATGGCAGTTGCGACAAGTTTAAGTTGACAAAAGGGCCCAATAAATAGAGATGAATCATTAATTATTCTTGTGTGAGACTTCCTCTTGTAGCATCGTTTTATCAAAGTCAGTGAGGGCCAGGAATTGGCCTCAGCACAATGAACAAAATAAATTGGAGGCTGGTACAAACCAGGGCTTGTCCAGCCTGCTCACATGATGCTTTGGGTGAAGGGCCTTGATGTCAGGCAGCGTGCAGAGGAGGAGGAGGATGCAAGCCTGAGTCCAAAGTACCTGAGTGCTCATTGCTGTGGATGCCTTCCGATGTGTTAAACTGCTGCTGGACGAGACAACTCGTTGCTAGCTGATGCGCAGAGAAGTCTGGCATGAATTATATTTGAAAACTCGGGGGCTGGGCCAGGCTAATCCTGCTTTGACTCTGTGTTTGTCCTTGAAACCAGGTGGTGTGACAAAAACAAGGATCATGGGCCCTGGCAGCTGGTGTACTCCTGTGTCACAACTCTTGTCTTTCAGGTCCCTGGGAATTTGCTCCATGGTCCATGGTGGCTGGCGGTGAGATCATACAGTTTGCTACCCTGCCAAGGTCACTCGGTTCCCTGCAACAGGATGCATTTGCCCTGGGGGAAAGTAATACAACAAAATTGCCTTCTCCCCACCTCTTGCTTTGTCCAGTCTGGTGATGGATTGATCTTGTAACCTGCCTTCCCTGGGCACAGCTGGAGCCTGGGGCATGGGAAACTTCTTGCATTCAGCTTGTTTCCTGACATTCAGTCTGAATTTGAGTTTCTTTGATAAACAGGTTGGATTTTCCGGCACATTTGCAGGGATTGTGGGGGACGAGTATCTTGACAGATCTGGAAACGTTTCTCCCATCTTAAAAACTGAATTTTGCTCCTTGTTTATGCGGGGAGAGTTGGGTGCTGCATATAAAGTGGCTGCTGTACAACCATGTCTTGTCACTAGGGGTCAGGAAAATGCTGAGAAATGGGAGAGCTCCCTGAAACTGCAGCCCCTGGCAGGAGGGCACAGGGCTGTGGCTCACAGAAACCCATCTGATTCCAAAAACCGGGAGCAAACTCTGCTAAAGAGTGGCTGTGCTCAGTGAAGTTCCAGGTCTTATAGAAAGCTGCCTGGAGGTAGGGACAGGAGAGGGGCTCTGGGTGCGGATGTAAAGGCAAGGTCTGCCTGCAGAGACCTTTTACTGGGCAGGATTAGAGAAGGTAGAGATGTTTTTGGGCGTACAAGCTCTTCTTCCGTTGGGACTAGAAACATCAGGCTTCAAAGCCAGATTAGTTGAAAACAGTAGCTCAGATTAGTGAGGTATCTAACATGTATGGTTGCTTTAGAAGGAAACAGCGGTAATAATGTACAGGGGATGATGATAAGTGAGTGGAGAAAAAAAAATGTGCTAAGACAGTGATTTCCTTGGATATAGAGACAAGTAGCTTGTGGGCTATGAGAGGGACGATGGCCAACTCCAGGAGCTTTGCTCTACAGTAATGAATTTTGTTTCTTAGATCTGCCTTTGGGAGGTGT